ATCAATCTTAAGAATAAGGCAAATGCTATTTTATACAGAGTCTAAGGTTGTTGCTGAAGCCACATCTCCCCTTAAAAGATATCGTGTTACAGGTTGATGGATTCCTCCATTGTCTGCAAAAACAAAACCAAGTCGTATCAAAACCTCCTAGCTCAAATTTAACAACCCATGAGAAGAGATTATGAGACACAAACTAGTGCTTGTGAACAGGATAGTTTGAAGGTATAATCATGGAATTAACTTAGTATATCATGTTAAAGAAAGAAAAAAGGGAAATTTATAAGAAACAAAGAATCAATACCCATTCAGAATTTTGGAATCCATCATCAAGTAACACTATCTTGTCTAGCATTCTGCTTCCATCTTCTTCTTCTTCTTCTTGTTCTTCTAGTTCCATGCTTGTTGCACTTAAAACGAAACCAGAGGTTTCTCCAGCATTTTTCTTTCAAATTTCTCATCCCCGCTGATAATCAGCTTTGAAAAATCCAACTGGGTTGTTGACAATGTTCGCTTCGCCTTCTCCTTCTCCAAAACATACCCTTTACTGCTATGATTCAATAGTCTCCGTCCCTGCAACACACCCGTCGATCTTGACTTGCTCAGCCTCACAACCGCCGCCGCGCCCACGGGCTTTTTCCTAATTACCAACGCCACGTGATCACCGTCCAGATCGGACTCCAGCCCTACATTCATTGTCACCTCGCTGTATGACCCAATCGATTTCGATCTCACCACACGCTCGCCTGTTATTCCGCCTTCGTGCTCTACACTCGCCACACTCGATACTTTCCTGCTATTCCTCCTGCTACCGCACATTGAACTTCTAAACACCTCCTCGCTCCCGTCGAAGACTGGGTACTGAACAAACGTTGGCGTAGGTTTGTCTACGCGCCTCACGCGCCGCCGCAAATTCGACCAGACGGGTGGAGCGTGAACTCTCTTTCTTACAACTTTCAAACACTCAATGATTTCTGACATTCCCGGGCGTTTCTCCGCCGTGGACCTCACGCACCTTGCTGCCAGCAGAGCCAGGGTCCGGATCACCTCCGGGTCCGCCGGAGATCCGATCCGATTGTCGCAGATTGCGGTGAAATTTCCTCGTTTAATCAACGGAACCGCCCAGTCGACGACGGAAGGTGGGCTGTAGTTCAAATCAATGGCGTGCCTTCCGCTAATGATTTCCAGTAACAGGATGCCGTAGCTGAACACGTCGCTCTTTGAGCTGACATCACTTGGCGCCAAATAGCCAGGGTCGAGGTAACCTAACGTCCCCGCCGGCGGGGTGCACTTGATCCGAACGTCCTCCACGTGTCCTCTTAACGCGAGCCCGAAGTCACCCAATCTGGCGTTCCAGTCGTCGTCGATCAAAATGTTGGACGACTTTATGTCTCTGTGGATCACCGGCGGGTTAGCAGAGTGCAACGCTTGAACCGCCTTCGCTATCTGCAGCGCGAACCGGACGCGGCGGCTCCATCCAGGCGGTCTAGAAGTAGAAGAAGAGTGCAACAGATCGTACAACGAACCATTTGGCATGAACTCCACAACGATCAGTTTGCTACTCCGGGAATCGGAGCAAAATCCGAGGAGGTTCACGAAGCCGGGATTTTGAACCCACGAGAGGATCTCAATCTCGTTATCGGCCGGGCTGTTGCAGTTGCAGTTGATGCACTTACTACCGCTATGTTTAAAGTTTCCAGACGTAGTTTTCTTGACAGCGGCAACGAGCTTCCCGTTATCGAGAGTGGCTTTGTAAACGGAGCCGTGGCTGCCTTTCCCAAGGAAAGTCTCGGCGGAGAAGGCGTTGGTGGCATCGAGGAGTTCAGTGTAAAGAAACTCTCTGATTTTGAAATTAGGGATTCTGGGGGTTCTCGTTCTTTTACCTTTTCTTCTCCGATCCCAGTTGTAGGGATCGCACACCGCTATCGCAGATTCTGCATTGCAAGAGAGGTAACCCATGAAACCGGTGGTCGGAGAGAAGCAGAGGGAGGAGGAAGGGGCGGTGGGCTGGTGAGAGAAGCAATCGAGAGGGGCAGAGTCAAGTGTGCGAAGGGGACGGCCATCAATACATTTGTAGGAGAAAAAGGATGAAGTTGTCGCGACTGATTTTTCAGCTTTGGAGATGTGAAAGCAATCAAAGCTTTGAAAAATTTTGAAATTTATTTTTAGTTTAGTTTTAGTTTAATGAATTTCGCCATGCAAAAGCGTGGGAATTTCTCGGGGACGGGGTTAAAGCTGTGAGGTAGATACGTTGAGTGGGGTCACTGATTTTACTTTTACTTTTTTCTACTTTATTTTATCACCTAATATTAGAGGTTATAACCTTTCTTTATGGGATTTTTTAAACGTTTGTCCTTATAATATAAATTAAATATCATTAATTATAATATTTATAATTATTTTGATATAAATTTTTATATAAAATTTAAATATAATATAATATTTTATTTTAAAATTTATAAACACAGTTAAGTTTATTAATTATGGTATTTTTAATTAATTTTACATAAATTTTTATAATAAATTTATAATTTTTTTATAAATTTTATAGTAAAATATTATATTATATTATATTTTTATATTTTATATTATATCATATTTAAATTTTATATAAAAATTTATATAAAATAATTATTAATATTATAATAAATAAAATTTAAAGTACAAATTAAAAAAACCTTTATTTTTATTACAACGAAAAAAAAATTTGTATGCTATTTCTACTCTAGGCCGAAAAGATGGACATTAATTCAGAATTATTCTTATATTTACAATAAAAAATTCAAAAGGTTAAGCAGTCGAAATTGAAAATTTGGGCCTACAATCTACTTTATTGACTATATTGGAGGAAATTTGAGAATCGAAACTACTGATTTTCATCGTTGTATTGAGAAAAAACAAGCAATTTTGTGACTTTTAGAGGTTCCATTATCTTTAACATTACCACTAAAAAAGTTGTGTGCCACCATATTAGGATTTTGAATCTCGTCCCGCTCTAGTGCTCTGATAGTCTCTGATTGGGTTTCGAGGTTGAGAACTTTGTGGCTTTGTGCCTCTTTGTGCAACGTTGGTTTTAAGGCGTTGATAGTCTCTTTGCTTTGCTTTAAGGCCACCCTTTCTACTCTCTATCTCTCAAGTATTTCGAGTTTTGTATTAAAAAATAACATATTTATTTTAATACTAATATCTTTATATTCAGTAATTATATTGAGTCTTAATTAATTTAAAATTAAGTTACATCAAATTTCATAAAAAATAAAATTTTCTTAATACTTGATTTTTCATTCATTCATTCTATTTAAATTAATAAATTGTTATTAAAAAAATAAATTTATATTACATAATATTTTAAGTTTAGAGTTTTAGTGTATTATTATGTAATAAATTTTTTAA